AGTTGTGCACTCGGCTAAAGTTTTATGTTTTCGGCACCTGTGTTAAGAAACGATGAAACAAGACCGTTGCGATTTATTTCTTCTCCTTCTTCACATTACAATACTGGTGTTGATCAGTCCGAATCGCCGTATGCAATCGCCATTCATTCCGCACAGATAATATCGTCCAACTGCTTTAACACACTACTACTCATCATATAATTCCACAGACCCACATAGATGTGCACTCGAACTAACTCCTTCGCAATCAAACACCACTATCACACCAACAACTCAACATCCATCCATCTCGTTCTCGACTTACCTTACAATAGCCATCTTTAATTATTCATTTACCTGAATTGATGCACTTACCGCTGACATTTATTTTTTGACACTCTCGCTGCGTTCCTCAAACATTGCTGTTGCTTTCCTCAACCGAAATGCAACTTTCGTAATTAATTGATTGTGGTAATATGCGGTTCTTATGGCACCATGTCAGACTTGCAGCTTTCTCACATTATACGTTCATCTTCTTCGGTCTTCGCATGACACCTTCAATAATGCTACAGCAAACACGCGCATACCTTGTGCATTTTCTAGCGATCTACCTCTTGAAATGAATTAGCTATGAAACTGTTTGGATACAATATGATGTTTCTTTAATAAAAAATCAATCAAATTTTTAGAATGGTTTCGGAAATAGTTTCTTATAAAGAAATTATTCACAGATTAAATCTGATAGATTAAATCAGATTAAATCTAATAATTAGAGCCGAACCAATTTACAGTTTCAATGAAATCATTTGGAGCTTGAGACCGAGCTCTTATCAATCTTATCAATTTGATGAAGCAATTCAGTCTGGCAAAGATGTGAATATGCTTGGCTCATTTGAACGTGATTGTTCCACTAGAATACGTTGAACCGTTCCTTACTTCTCTTTACGATTCAATAACAATTGTTAATTTTGGAAAAGTGCAAAAATAATATCGTTTCACTACTCTGAAAAAGTTCTTCTTTGTGGCTGTTCTTGAAAAACGATGATGTATCAAAATTTAATGTGGAACGTTCAAAAAATGTTATCTTGTATTGTTAACAGATGGAAAAACAAAAGTATATCAATCCGATGCTGTGAAATGAGGTTATCAAAATCTCAAAAAATTTCGAGTCTGCTGAGCTATTCCAGGGAGGCGAATATTAATTCTCTGCAATGCTTTTAGACTATAATCTCAGCAGTGATTCCAGAATTTCTTCATGAAAATGATATTTACATTGCATATTGCATATATAGACGTTACTGGACTTTCAATCTCAGGAAAATTTTTTGTGGATTTAGAAGAGAAGCGAGAGACAGATGGTTGCACATATTGCAACTACACTCACTTGGAACACGCCCTTTGGAGGTTTTCATGAAAGAATGCAAAAGCGAAGTGTGCTGACTGATAAAAAAACGCTTCTCCGAATTGACCATCCGAAGTTTATCGATGAACCGATCCACACTTCTTTTAATGGAATCATTAGCATGTGTTGTCAACGCAAAAATTATCTGTAATTTTTTCAATTCAGTTTCGCATTCTACTAAACCTATAAGCCATTTTTTTCGCTGATTACGTTACTTCATATGACGACAGTATATCATCAAAATGCTAGAAATGCAATGTAAAATGTATCCATCAATTACTCTTTGCACACCACTCCTTCACTCTCTCTGGGCACAAGATGCCAGGCTCCATCATTGTCGTTATTCGTAATGAGTTTGTCCACAATTTTTGAGCGATCAATGACGGTGATAACAATAATTATGATATCGATGATAATTGATTTAATCAGATGCCTGAATATGACGCTTCGTAATTCGTCAAAATGATAATACACACGTGATATTTTCGTCAATAAATCCCATCAACCAAAGGAATTTGCATGTAAGTGTCATCACCGAAGCAAATCAATCTTAATGGTGTGACTGAGTGAGTGCTGTTTCCGATCGTTGTACGCGGTCAGTACTCAATCTGTCAATTGATTCGTCAATTAATTCATGCAAAAGTATATCAATTGACCACTGATAAACGCCTACAATTCTAGGACTATATAAGCATAGTTACTTCCATTCCACTGATGTGCTAGCTAGTGATGGAAAGTTTTTAAAATGAAGAAAACACTGGCTTGCTCAGAGGTACTCGCTGATTGCTCACAAAAGTGTGTTTGCAGTTGCTCGCTTCTAATGCCCGCCAATTGCTCATGGGTGCCCCATCAATGATGTCATCTGAACGTCTACATCTATTCACCTGGTATTGCTTCTTAAAAATCCCTTCAACATCAGTAGAGTGTTGAATGCACATTCACTGATCAAGTTTCCACGCAGTTCTGCCCGTTAATAACGTTGCTTGAGAAATACTTTAAGAATTTTGTCACCAAGCTGAAAAGATCAGTGTATAACCCATGTCAAAATTTACGTTTCAAATGAAGCAGAATTGTTGCTAAGTTTACGATTTTCGGATGAATCATTGCTGAGAAAAACCATTCCAGCAATCAAAAAACGACCATTCTGAAAAGTTACGTCCATATGGTTTGACTATAAACGAGGACCAAGCACATTAAACATTTTACTTTATTACCTTCACTTTTTTGGTAATTCGGAAATCATTATTCGCTTTCAAAATTCGATAAACAACAACTACGACTTCTGTACATCTAGACAAAGTGCCTTCTTACAAACTCGAAGTTTCAGACTATAAGCTCAGCAATTTCAACTGCACCAAGAAGTGAGTCCAAAAAAATTTCAAAGATTTTCGTGGAAAAAGTGCGTCAGATATTTTTCGATTTAATATGATTGAAAATCTTGCTCCTTTATTCATTGTGTATGGTAGATCATCAAAAAAACAAGTGTTTCCTTATGGTTCACAGCAGTGAAAACGTAAAATTTAGTATCCGAATAAAACGGTTTTCATGTGGTTTCCTTAGGATACATTTACTGGAACAACTAAGCTTATGGTTAGAATCAAAAAACTTCTTACCGGCGAGAATGCAGTCAAGCCGTGTTGTTTGCGACGAGGGGATTGCTCATCATTTCAGCGTTTATTGCACACTATCAAAAAGCTTTGCTGCTGAGTTATCAGTGTTGGTGCAACAGCTCGCTATTTGATTCATTCATGTCACGCTTCTGACTGAAATCCTCTCGAATAATTTGTTTTTTTGTGCTGTCAGCGCTGAACTTTGAAATGTTTTCCAAGCGGTAAAATCATATAGAACGAGATCACACTTCATCGTCGCTTGTTGAGTATTGCGAAGTTGCAACCGTAATTACAAAACGAAGTGAAACGATTAATATTCAACCAACTTGCTTATAAATTTAAAGTTGTTGGTGATCGTCAGAGGTGATTTCTGTTCTGAATAGGTACGGCTGATCGATCGCTTCAAAGAACTCATCTGAATCAATCATTTAAAATTATTGAATGATTTTTCTGTGCTGTCAGGAAAAACCATCATGTACTAACCAACCAACAGCTATACCCTCAACTCAAAGATATCAAAGAGCAACTTTTGCCCTAACCACTTAACACAAATTGCATTACTTGAACTTATTCGAAAACTGTTCGCATTCGCATGTTATGTCTCCAGCAGCATCGTAGAAATTTCTGCAACATTTCCAAATTGTTTCAATGATTTTTTTCATATACTTTCATCTCAGTCACCGTCGCTTCTCAGTTTTAAAATGTTCAACTGCACTTTGCTTCCCTCATGACTGATTTGAAAGAATGAAATACTTCAGTGATTTGGTTGAGATATGGGTATCGTTCCTATTGTAAAATCACTGAATTTATGTTTTAAATTCAAGTAACAGATTCATCTTCTTGCCAGCTAAAGACAAGATGTGCGGTGTTTTGAGTTTACACAGGTCACTGATATGCATCCTGATGAGTTTATTGTGAACCCCGAATGATGTTCTGATTGTTTACTGGCATTTATCCGCGAATGCGCGCGTCTGTTTGTATTATATTATAGTAACATATATTAATAGCGTTTAATCTTGCCAATACCCAATATATATCTGTAACACCTTTGAATCAATTGATCATTTTAGATATGGTTATTGTTGTTTCAAAATTTTATGACTGTTACAACCATTCATCTCATATTGGAAGGAATATCGACATTGGATAAAGATGAGTTAAACACTGAGAAATTGTCTTATGAATCGATTTGGCGTTAACTTGTTTCGGTTATTTGTGCATCAGATTTCAGTTCGGTTTTATGAATCAATGAATGGAATATCTGAAATTTTTTTCGGTCAGTTTTATTAGTTGTGCTCAGTAATTGAGGTGTAATGTGTATTGATTGCACCGATCAGAAATTTCCAATAAATTGATTCGTTTTATTGTGCAGGTGAAAAAATCACTTTTAAAGCAATAATACACGTTTGGGTGCTCAATAAAAGGCTCAATTTTTGAGGCATTCCAATTGTGACATTTCCAATTTTTGAACAAATTCACCATTTTCAATTCGATATTTTATTGGAAATGTAACAAAGAAAAAAGTGAGCTATTGTATGAGACTGGTTTGAGACGATTTGTCGAATCGTAATTCGAGCGTTATTGGCAGCGATGACAGCCAAACTGTGTTAATGTGTTACTGATTGTGATGGTGATGATGATTTCAGTTTAACTCTTACTATTAATTAGCAATCAATTTTGAAGTTGTTCATTCCTTCAGCAGATATTATTTAATCAATGATTCATTCATCCCATTCTGCATTCTTCCACTTCATGGTATTCACCGACAAGTCGAGAGCATAACGAAAATTATGAAATTTCTTTTGTTGTCACCTTCTATTTGAGTATTCAGTGTGTCGATGTGGATGTTTATCTTCATATATTTACTTAGATTCTGATGAATTGCGAGCGTTCGATCATATTCCATATTACCTCAGTTCATTCAACTTGTTATTGATAGAAAGCGATCGTGCGCCGTTCAGCTCTCTGACGGAATTGGTCATCTTGAACATTTCTTGCTGAATTTTCAGATGCGGGGTGCTATCAGTTTGGTGTCATTGTTATTGGCAGCGGCTGAATCACAACGTAAAGCATTCGTTGATCCACAAAGTGATTGTCGTATTCAGTGCTTGAATGGTGGTTTTTGTGCTTATTACGTTGATAATCCGGATGTACATACATGCTTGTGTCTTTTGGATATGTTCACTGGTGAACGATGTCAATATCAAGGTTATTGCTTATTTCTTTCAGTATTCATTCTGCTTTCGTTGTCTCTCCTACTCGCATTCGTTTGACTGGCCATCAACTTTTTTCACTGACATGTTGAGTTCTCGATCTAAATGCTTCATTCACACCCGATAAAGTCTAGAATTCTTCGATCCTCTCCGTACATTTTATGACCAATCCAATTCATTTATTACATTTGTAATAACTTCTGCAGGCTATCCTTCTGAACATTTGTGAGAATCCATATTATTCTTCTCGATGAATGTTGCTTAAAATACATTGCTTCATTTCATTTTACTAACTGAACAGCTCACCACTCTTTCTCAAAAAAGCAAGGGTTATGTTTTTCGGCTTATCCCATCTAACCATTTAAACGCAGTTCCGAAGAGAAAATATTCTGAAACTATTTATTACCTCGAATTGTTCTGAAACTCATAGCGTGTGGTTATTATTGTGTTGCAAGAACCTCGCACATCAGAAAGACCAGCCGAATATCACCCTCTTAGATGGATTATCATCACTGTGAATAGTGATTAGAATATTGCGTTGAAATACTGAGTGCATAGTCGTTCATCGAGTAAAATTGAACGCAAGCTGTTTATAGCTCTCGAAAGATAAACAAATGAAATGTTTATGAGAATATAATCCAGCCGGATGAACGTTTTTGTTTATTCTACTAGTACAGCGAAAATGTTTTCTCACTTCAAAAATGATTGTTTTCGCAGAGTTCCCACACGACGGTTCTTTATCCATCTACACTACTGAAAATTCATTCAATGAAATGAGTGACGAGTTGACTCGATTCTATTGATTGGTAGTAAAGTCGATTGATATGATCTTATGGAAGTGCTGACGGAGTACGTGACAAAAGTGAGCAAAATTAAGAGTTGTTTAAGAATGCTTCCTATATAACAAAGTACAATTTCCTCAATGAATCGTAAATATTACATGAGGAAAAAACTTTCAGCGCACTCAGAAAATCCTCGTAGATAATAAATAATAGATCTATTAGTGATTGGAAATCGACCAAGCAGGTAGCGGTTTAAGAAAGAACATCAAATAAGTATTATCTAGACCACGTATGGTTTCAGTTGATAGGTTTGAGCACTTTATAAAGGATCACTTTGTCATTTCAGATTGTTTTTTACTAATTGGTGCAAATTCGTTATTGAATTTACTGCTTCTGTCGTGTTGAGTTTCATCGGAGCTCATATAATTTTTTTGCTCCGAATGTTTACTTCAAAAACTACGGCAGTTCGTTTTTGTAAATGTGGTTTATATAGTTTTCATTCATGATGAGTGCAGTTTACTCATCTGGAAAATTGGTGACCGCTTGGCAATGTGAAGTATTACAGCTATTCGAATGTCATGAACATCGGTATCTTACATCCATCAGCCGTGTGCAAATGTTATGATGCATGAAATTATTGCTGCTTCAAACCAAGTTTAAACTGTATCGAAATTTCATTCATATTCACCAATAGACGCTGTGCAAATAATCCTTGTACTCCATCTGTAGGATTCGACGAATTACGCATTAAATCGTTTTCTTCAAATCATTCATTTGTCGTAGTAGAAGTAAACAAATACAGAAGTGATACAGGTAACTTGTTGATGTTACCTGTATCACTTCTCTGTTTAAACTGAACGAGCAATTAATTGTTATATAATATGTAGTTGCATCATATAATGGTGGCTGATAACTTGATGTGATATATGCGAACCGTTAAGATAAAAGATGTGAATGTTTACAGTCACACAGACGTCGTCCATATTACCGCTAACGACCTTAGCACCAACTACAACACCGCAACCACCTCCATACTATCTCAGTGGTCACGATGAATACTACAATCCAAATAATTTAGGTTCAACTTTCTGCAATTCATTCATTTCATGATTTTCATTGCCGAATATCCTCATAAGAACTCGTCAGCTAGGGAATACAAAATGTGGACACCGAATTATCGTGCAATAAAAATGGAAATAATTCTGAACAATGCGGCAGGATACATCCTTGACCGATTTTTTAGACAATGCAAGTTTTGCTATCATCTGAAAACTCGAAATGTATCATGATCATGAGCAGTGATCGAATAGGGGCCTTTTATTTATACTTTACTTTATTATCATGTTTATACTTTTATACTTGATTTATCGATTTGTTGATTTGACGATCGACAGGTTCGTTGAGAAGATTCACTGATCAAAATTTCGATGACAAAAACTACATTCAGAGACCTCCACTTCAGCCACCTTCCACCAGCAATTTGAAATCTTGAAAATGCAGAGTCGTTTAATAGAACTGAAAAACTGTAGGTAAAATGGACGAGGAAGGTGATGACGATTACACGGATGGATGGGACTCGATAGAAGATTACGATACTGAGGAAGATCATTTCAAATCAGGTTTGTTGCCATTTGCATTGTCGAATCATGAAATGACATTCATTGATTTCGTCTTTGTAGTATGATCTAGGCAGGATCACATCTCAAAGATCATGCAAAATAATTCATTTTTAATGGTGATAGCACAAGTGATGGAATGCACCTGGCTGAGTTAGAACAGGATAGATTACACGAAATGCTGCGAAATTTTCGTTGCACCAAAATTAATGTGGTTTTGTAATCGATGAAATGGGAATTAAATTGTTACTTCGTTGTAGAAGATGAAGAGAAGAAAGTGGAGAGGAACACAGAAGAACGAGAATATTCGAACGACAACCAAATGACGATGAGTCGTACGCAAACAAATTCTCGCATGACTGAACAATCGAACGAATTTAACATTGAACGAGGGCACTCACTGGATGATGATAATTGGAATGATATCATGAAAGATAGCAATAATCATGAATTCTATGATGACATCACCACATCAAAACATTCAGTCTCCTCGAATATCCAACCAAATCCTCATTATTTGAGTGGCATGAACACTGATGATAACACCAACAGCAACGATGAACACGATCATAAATATGAACCATCGAGATCATCGATCCATTCTAATGAGGATCACCATCAGATGGATTCATCGACCGAACGCGGTCTAATTCCTGAATCTGAAGCTGAAGATGAAGGTTGGATGATGAGTAAACGACGACGACTCGCTAGTAGTGCTGGCTGTTTACTCGATATGAAGCAGTCTTCGAATCACCTTTCTTTATTATTCGTTCTTTTAAGTGCTTTTTCAATTATAAGGTGGATTGCTTGATGGATGCTTCATTGCACTGTATATTTTTGTTGTCGTCTTTTCAATATCGATATTTATTTATTTCTCGAATTTTATGACCCTCTACGACCTTCTTGATAATGCACAAAAGAGGTCATGGTGAATAACAAATGATCTTATCTGATCACCACGCAATGCTTATGAACACATTTTTTAATGATCGCTCGTTCATTATTTGCATTCGTTGTTGATGACGCAAAAAATTTGGATCTTCAGATGCCATTGAAGTTCTTTGACGAAAACAATCTCTTTTTTAGCGAGTGAGTTGGAAACGAGAGAAGTACTTCGTTGATTTGATCAGTTACGTATTCTCTTTCCATGATCAACCGATACTTTGAACTGGAATTGCATTCGAAATAGATTCGGATTCGGAGTAGTGATTTCTGAAATATTGCTTTCTTCTGAGCGATTCTTTCATTTAGTAATGCGTTTTAATGGAACTGATGTTGATCATTACAATTCTTTGTTTTCAACAAAAGATATTCATGCATTTCAACACATAATCAGGGCTGATTTTCAAATGGGAGACGTGCTTCGAAATTGGAAATAATGCATTTCCATCTCATTTTTGAGATTACCAATATTTAGAATAAGTCTCGTTGAACACAACCAAAATTTGTCATAATTCATTTAACGAACACAGATGAGCGCAAACCTGGATTAATATTCATATAATGCTGCAACATCTTAGAAATATTCACTACAGCAGTCTATTTATAATCCCCAATATGATCCGTCCTATAACAGTGAACGCATTCAATATAGAGAAGATCAGCGGAAGGAGAGCGAAAAAGTGTGATATTGTACACACGAACTCAACGCAGCTCTGCATTTATTTTCTTCCGGAAAGGGAATGTCAATTAATTGTAAGTGTAAACTCCCTCGCTCGCTCCTCTACTTTCTCTAAGCGGGGATTTGTCAGCGATTTAGAAAAGCACCTGTACTATATCTCGCAGTTGTCCGTATATGAATGGTATCAATAAACAATCATAAATGCAGAATTTTTCCGGCCATATCGTTACATTACTGCTGAGGGGCTATGAAATGAAAAATGCCGCCTTGAGCAGCAGGATGAAATGAACGTCAATGGAAATTTATTGACATGAAATTTTGACCATTCGAACTCTCGAAATTTCAACAGTGAAAATCATATGCCTGAGTATCCCCACAAATTCGTCCTTGAGGGATTATCTCCAAGAACCACTTCTTTCGACCGAGAAATCTGCTAGTCAGATTAATCACAAATCGTGCTACAAATCTTCTTGAAGTCTTAAATGGAAATTTCTGATTGTGGTTGTTATGATGAACATGTATGATACGTGCGTAGTGGTTCCGTTGTTCTTGAAAATGGCTATGCGAGCATTTTT